TTTTCTATTTTATTAATGATGATATCGCCAAATCTGATTAGAATAATCAGCCCTCATGTTGATTATTAGAACAAAACATGATAGAATAATCAGCCCCCTTGCACGTAAAAATACTGCTGCGATCATCGTAAGGGTAGCTGTAAGCCGCGGGGCAAGCCGTCTTGAAATACCTCGAATACCTGGTGGGCGTACACACTTGGGGATTGTTGTAAACTCCCGCACAACAATACTGATCCTTCCCAAAAGCCAAGCACGCGCTCTTACACCCCACCACCTGCACGCCACTACCGTATTCCCGCAATTCCGGGGGGCAAGTGGGGTTCAAATCTTTCGTACAGGCGAGCCGCGTGCAGTTGCCCGACCCGCCCGACGGAACTATGGAAACGGGCAGATTGAATCCGTCAACGAGACTAATATCGTAAAAGTCCTGCGGGCTGTCGAGAGTGAACTCCGCCAGGGACGCCGGAGGAGCTCCGCCGATGCCGTTGCAGTCGAGGCGGCCCCCACAGTCCCCGGTGATGCAATTCCCCGTTTGGCCCGAATTGTCAAAGCTGCAGCCCGTGCGGGCCCAGAAGCGGCCCGACCATCCAGCTGGCGCATACAAGCTGGCTGATTTGTTCGGATTCAGCTCCAGGCTGCCATTTATCTCTAGCTGAGGTTTTCCGGCGCCGGCCTGGATTCCGGGCCATATGGTTTGGCTGCATCTGTTGAGCAATGTGAATTTCGCAGCCTTCGAACATCCTGGAAAAATATATAGCTAGTACGTACGGTTAATAAACCCAAGGCAAAAATTCAATTTCGGTTTTCTGTTTACTTGTCTAAAGTCTTTTTTTTTTTCAGTACACTGACTTTCCCTCAACAATAATAGTACGTTATGTTGCAATTTTGTATTACTGTTGGGATATTATCACGAAAATGATTTATTATTTTGGGTTTGATGTCCTAAAAGTGATACAAATTGCAACATAACGTAGCGTACTGTTTTTGATGAGTAATGTTCTAAAAATTATACAAAATTACAACATAACTTACTATTTTTATTGAGGAGTATGTTAGTGTACCAAAAATACACTTTAGACAAGTAATTAAACGGATCAAAATTAGAATTATTCCAATTACATAAAGCAGATGTGAAGAAAATGTTCTAGAAAATGAAAAGCAAGAAGAAACAGTTAATGACCTGTGAGGAAAGCTAGGACAAAGACAAAGAGGAAAGGCCACCGTGCCGCCATGATTATATATGGAATTAAATATTCAATTAACTGAGAAGCTCTCAAATGTACAAAATTGGCGATGAAATTGTGAATATTTATATGGGTTGTCTTGGTATGTTGCAACAAACTGTTTTCCTAGTTGCTTTTCAGTTGGTATGTGTGTAAGTCAAAGCGACATTACAGATAGTGTGATACAAACGATTATTCCTTGTTGCTTTCTGTTAGTATGTGTGTGTATTAGTCAAAGAGATTGATTATAGATAGTGTGTACAAACAAATATTCTTTTTTGGCTTTTCTGTTGGTATGGATATTAGTCAAAGAGTGATTATAGACAGTGTAATAGAAAGAAATGTTTACTGGACTTTATTTAATACGAAAAGACGATACATGGTGCCATAATCTCATGATCCAACGCCTAATATCCATTGTGGAATTGATAGAATGGATATTAGGCGTTGGATCGTGAGATCTATGGCACTATATGGTGCCCATATGGGCACCATAGAATTTCTGTTTGAATTTGTGTATTTGTAGAAATGTAAATAAAGTTTAATGAATTATTTGTGTCCATATAATACTAAATTATCAGTTATATAGTGATATTATTATTTTAAACTTAGGTATTATAAGTTATATATAGTTATGCATGTAATATTAAAATTATAAGTTAGCTAGGTAATGATATTATGTTTTAAAATTTGATCATTGGTTAAAATAAATAAGATATAACGATTTGATTGCATATGAATCACTGTATTTATTGCATAAAATATGATAAATAATGTAATTTTGTAATTTTGAGGGATCATAACTAATTAATTAGCTGAAAAATATTATTATAACAATTGCCTATGCGATTTTAAGGATTTTTACTATGACAATAAAATAAATTAATTTATTGAAAAATAATCACTTAATCATATAAAAAAATATAATATTGATTTTATAATACATAACTTGAACAAAAAAATTTTACAGTATAATTTTTTTTATGTTTATGTATTTTTTTTATATCATTTAGTGTAAACTATAATTATTAATTTAATAATAAATATTATATGATATAATTAAAAATATAATTATTAATCAGTGTAAAATTAACGATTTTAGTCTTAATTAACCTATAAAACAGTGCAAGAAATATTTTCTCATTAATGGCATATTGGTTGATTAATCTAGTAGTAGTAGTAATAATAATAATAATAATAATAATAGAATGTAATGATTTTTGTGTTAGGAAAGTTTTCACGTATGTAAAATTAATAAGGTAAAATTTAATGTTTAGCTAGCCATATATATTCGTCAAGGACAATCTAATAATTTTCTATACATACACCAACTAGAGCTGTCAAAACGGGCCGACGGGGCGGGCCGGTCCGTAGTCCGCCAAAGCCCGCCTTTTGTCGGGACGGGTGGGCTGGCCCACCATCTTGGCGGGCCTAAGAAATGCTGGCCCAACCCGCCCCGTCTCGGGCCACGGGTTTGAAGGGCCAATCCCGCCATATTAAAAAGAAAAAAAAAAAGAAAAAAAATGCCTCGGATGATTTTGGGAGAGAGCAATCCAAATCAATGGTTTTGGGAGATAGCAATCCAAATCCAAATATATATAATTACGGCCCAAACCTTCACTTGAGGTTCCTTCAATCTCCATCTGCAATGAAGCTCTGCAACCTGGTGGAAGCGAAATAAATCATCTCTGTTCACTTGAGGTAGGGGTGCCCAGCGAAATAAATCATCTCTGTTCCAAATACCAATACCTAATCTGGTGGAACCTCCTCCTTCTCGGGAGCCCTCCTCTAGTTTCTCAAGGCAGAGGGCCATTAGGGTTTGGTGGAGTTTGGGTTTGGGCGTGAAGGCTGAGTGATATATATACGTGTATATACTCGAATATGTATATACTTTTATCTATAATTTCTTATTATAATTTAATATCTATCATTATATAAAAAAAATAACTTTTTTATAAATTTAAACTTTTTTTCCGCCAAAATCATTAAATATATCTTAAATATAGTAATTGTTAACGTAAAAAATATAATAACAATGGTGTGTAATCAAATTTTTTTTAGATGGAAATAACGCCATAAATTCGGTATTATCTAACATAATGTCTTTATTAAATTATGCTCATAATATTTTAGATACTTTAAACCAATTGTTTAAACATTTTTTTTATGTCTATATATGCATCTACACATACATAATTGATGTTAAATTTAAATATTTGTAGACATGATTTCCTTACAAAATAGTCTAGAAAAATCAAATTCGGTATTATCTAACATAATGTCTTTATTAAATTATGCTCATAATATTTTAGATACTTTAAACGAATTGTTTAAACATTTCTTTACGTCTATATATGCATCTACACATACATAATTGATGTTAAATTTAAATATTTGTAGACATGATTTCCTTACAAAATAGTCTAGAAAAATCAAATTCGGTATTATCTAACATAATGTCTTTATTAAATTATGCTCATAATATTTTAGATACTTTAAAAGAATTGTTTAAACATTTTTTTTTACGTCTATATATGCATTTACACATACATAATTGATGTTAAATTTGAATATTTGTAGACATGATTTCCTTACAAAATAGTCTAGAAAAATCTTTTTTACGCAATGTTAAATTCAAATGTTTTTAAATATATTCCTTCTAAAATTGTTTAGAAAAGTTGTAGGTGACTTCACATCTTTCAAAAATAATATAGAAAATTTTGATTTCTCTTACAAATACTAATGTAATATTTTAAGTGTTTTTAATATTAAACATACACATTTTATATTATGTTATACAAAATAATGTAAATTTTATATTCTCTTATACAAAATAATTTTACATTGTTTGACCCGAATAACTTATAATTATTAAGTATTATTTATTCTCCTCTTTAATTTATAATTATTTTTTTCTTCCTCTTTTTAAATAAGATCAATAGTAGTTTCCACTTCTGCCATTGAGTGACTCAAACTCGAAGTCTATTTATAATATTGTTAATTTAATATTGTTCTCGTGCATCGCACGGGGTACACACTAATAACATTTAACATATATTAATANTCTCTCACACCACGCACGCACACACACCAATCACACACACACACCACCAGCTCTCAGTCGCCATCTTCGTTCACTGGCGGTCACCTTTCGCAGGCACCGACCGCCGTCGCCTCGGAACCGAACGCCGCCGCACAAGTTCGCGGTCTCAGTCCATCACCACCCTCGTCGATGTCCGACGTGATTTTGGCCGTCGTTGGTTGTCCTCCCACCACCACGCACCGCCAACCTCGCTGCACTAAGAAGAGCAGATCGCCTCGATCTCGTCTGTACTTTTAGGTCCGCATGCCCTAGGTCGCAGCCGTTCACTGATCACCGCCATCCAACCACCATCCAACCCTCCGCCGTCACAGAGCGGAGCGCCGCCATTCAAGTCGTCGTCTCCGGCGTCGTCCTCCACCGCCAAGCTTGGCTATCGACCTTCAAGCTCGAAGGTCGAGCTCCAATGGCGGTTTTTGAAAAAANAAAAAAAAAAAAAAAAAAAAAAAATAGAAAAGAAAGAAAAACACCGCCGGACATTGTCGGTCGTTGAAGACGGCGACACCGACAGTCGTCGAACAGGTAAGCTGATGGCGCTGGGGTGGTGGGGCCAAAAACAGGTTGAGTTGGGGCATTATTGTTGGACATTGGATTATGTTCAAGGACTAGATTGCAATTTCATGAATTTTGAATAAATTTCAATTTGGTTCATGTGCCAAATGTGTGATTTACATAAAGTTTAATAAAATCACATTAATAATAAATAAAATGCAAAAAATATATTAAAATATATTGTGTATATTCACATTAAACAAAGTCACAATGTGAGTGCACAATACTAACAGACAAAACTCACATTAATGACTGATTAAATGCACAATAGTGACCTAATTCGAATGAACTAAAATTTTCAGTTTGAAATTTTGTATGTCGATTATATTATATGTTTTTAATTTTAAATTTTAAGTTATCTCATTACATGTCGTTTTTTTTTTAATATTCAAACTGACAGAACTATAAAAAAATATATTATCTTTTTATAAATATATATAAATCATGAAGTTAAAATCAAAATAATATAAAATTATCAAATAAAAACTATTTAATACTAAATATGATTTTGTAATATAAATATTAAATAAATTTAACTATTTAGGGACATAAGAAAAAAACTCCGTACTAATTGTATTAAACAAGACGCACATTATTAATTGTCATACTGCACAACAGTGTTAAATTAAATGCATTTTTTATAGTACCAATAATAAATTATTTTATTTTCTAGATTAATACAATTAACCGTCAGAATAACATAGTTATTTTGGCTCGAATTTAGTTTGATTTCGCAGGTGAAAAAACATGCGCTGCATAATGCACAGTAATATTAAACAATATGCACATTAATGAATGACAGATTGCACAATAATTTACTTTTTAGTTTTGTTTAGAACAAATTATCAAAAAAGGCATACACTATAAATGCACGATTATGCTATATGAATTGCACATTACTGACGGCAAGAACACACTTTACACAAAAATAAAAAATCATTCGATAATTTTTCTTTTGAAGAGTTCAACTCGATAATTTTGGTTTTGATATTTTGGTATATTATGGGATAATTGGTAAATTTGCAAACTTATAAATGTGTATTAGATGACAATTATGTATTTGTCATACTAAAATAATAAATTTTAATGTGCATATCATCACACATTAATGTGCATTTTGCATATCGTAGATGTGCATTTTATTTATCTTTATAGTGCATTTAGTATTTATATAAATTATACATTTAACCCTGGGACTAAGATGTAATATATTTAAAAATGTTGAAATTATGTTTGGATCCTTGCAACTTACTAAATTCTCAAACTCAAGCCCCTCATACTCAACTCCTTCTTTCAGATTTTTCAGTCACCCGCCTCCAGCCACCCGCCCCAGGCCATCGTGACCCAACGCCGGTGTCCACATCTCCTCCGCCGTGTTCTCCCTCCCTCTCCATCGCCAAGGTCGCTGAACGACGGAACGCCAGAAAAAAGTGGGGACGCTGTCATTCGCCACCTCCACCTCTTTCCTCCGCCGTCACAACCAAAACGCCGGTGACAACCTGCTCCTCATGACGACCGTTATCTGTAGTCCGCCGCTCCCGACGTCGTGAAGATGCCATCCTCGGCCATCCCAAAACCGTCGACCACCGAATAGCCCGAAGTACCGAGCTTGTCGAGGGGAAGACGCCGGCGGCCGCATGCCTCTGCACATGGAGACTGACGGTGCTCGCGACAGCGACATCGTGGATCTGCTCTTGTCCGCGGCAGGGCTGCTGCCGGCGGTCGGCCTGAACGGCGGGGCTACGACGGGGATGGCATCAGCATCATCTGGATCGGCAAGGATCGTGTCGCCGGCGAAGATGGTGGTCAACTGGCGGCGATGGCGGTGCTTGTGCCGGCTGCTGATTGTGTGTGTGTGTGTGTGTGTGTGTGTGTGTGGTAGGTGGGAGTATGAATTTAATGTATTGTGGTGGGTCCTACATATTGGGTGGGTGTACAAAATTACACAACTGCCCTTAGATGATTAATTTTGACCAATAAATGTAAAGTTATTTGCTATATTGCCAATTATTTAAATTTGACTTGATCATGGCTATTGATATGATGGATCTAGTGGCCTAAAATCATTCTTATTCCTTTCATTGCGTTTCATTCTCATTTGAGCGCACTTATATATATATATAGGGAGTGGTTCAAATAAAAACTAGTCCTGGTGTGAGAACCGTGAGAACCGTATTTGATGCTAGTTTTTATTGTGTATGATGCTATTTTTAATATCACATGGTGCTATCATTTTCACAAATGCTATTATAAATTGTGTTGCTATTTTTAAGAAAATAAATCAATGTTAAAAATAGCATTAAAACACAATAAATCATAGCACTACTTGCAACTATAAATAGCGGTTCTCACGGTTCTCACGCTAGAACTTGGTTCTCATTTGAACCACATCCTATATATATATATGAGAATGATGCTTAATGCAGGAAATGAGAATAAATTGTAACCACTAGATCATCCGATCTAATGGCTAATAAAAAAGTCAAATTTATACCTCATTAAGGACATTTTAGTCATTATATTACACATCATCTCCACATCATCATGCCACATCAACTCCCCATACACCTAATACACACGCAACACACGCACACACACATTCAACACACACACAAACACACGCACACATTCTGCACACAGCCACACACACATCTCTCTCTCTCTCCTCTCCCCCTCCCCTCTCTCTCTCTCACCTAAACACACGCACGCAGGTCGCAGGCCAAATTCATTCGCACAGCTCGATCGGAAATTGCATCCGACCACTGCTCAGAGACGCCGCATAATCGAGTCGTGCTCCGCCGCCTGCCAGAGCCCTTCGTTGTTCGCCGCCGACCAGAACACCGCCACAACCCCGCTGCCGGGAACGCCTATAACACGACGATCGATGCTTAATCGTGACATAGCCGCCGTCATCGGCATCCCGCCTCATACATCGCGGCCAGCCAACCCCGGTAACTCGACATCCGCCACTGCCGCCTCTACCTTCGCCGGCGCCACCTCGACCTCCGCCACTGAAACACTCCAATAATCTCTTTCTGTTTATGTTTTCGTAACAAATTCGTGACCTTGTATGAATCGTTGAGCCTGGAATTGCGAAATTGACGGTGAATTTCATAAATTGTGGATGGATTGGTTGAATTCATTGATTTAGAGCTAGGGGCCAGATTTTGTGAATTTGATAACTATGAAGGACTTATGTGCAATTTCAGAAATATTAATTATTTTCAATTTAGTCTAAGTGGCAGATCTATAATTTTAACAATTTTGACCAAATATGCAATTTATATCAATATTCTTATAAATACATATTAATAATAAATAAAATGTACATTATTTTAAAATTTTAATATGTACAATTTTAATATATGAAAAATATTAAAATAATAAATATACTTGTAAAATAATAAATGACAAATAATTTTAATTATTTTGATTAATTCGATGCAATTATATCTACTAAATGTAGTTTTTAAAAAACACATAATTTATATGTGATCATATAAAGTAGTGCACTTATATATCAATATGTTGCACTTTATAAAAGATCGAGTTGCACCTTATAAAACACCACATTGCACTTTATCACCACACTCCACAATTAACGTTAATAGTTTCCGACAAAATAAATCTAAAAAAATGAATCTACATAATATTTTAACATACGTCACATCATTTGTCCACATAAAACACAAGCATGCTAACATATCAAAATTACAGTGCACTTTATACATAAACACGTTGCACTTTATAAAACAAGACGTTGCACTTTATAAAACAACAAGCTACATTTTATCATCACTCTCTTCAGTTAACGTTAATAGTTCCTGTGAAAATACAACATAAAATAAATCTAAAAAAATGAATCTACTTAATATTTTAACATGCATCACATCATTTGTCCACATAAAATACAAGCATGCTAACATACCAACATTACAGTAGTCCACTTTATACATAAGCACGTTGCACTTTATAAAACAATACGTTGCACTTTATAAAATAACAGCTTGCACTTTATCACGATTATAATATCATTATCACGACTATAATATCGTACGAATACAGAATGAAACTAACCGAACTCAATTTTTTATTTCAACTAAAAATAATATAAAAACAATAAATAAAATTATTAATATATTAGTTATAATTTTAATATAAATAACAAATTATTTCGATAATTTAGAATAATTCGGTTAACCAAACTGAATAAACCAATTAATTATGTTCATTTTCAATTTGATGGGCAATAGTTCAGTTGGTTCAGTATGCACAATACATACTAACACCGTGCACCATATTGTTGAACGAATTGCACCTAATAACTGTTATATTGCACCGTATATTTTGTTTACATATATACTAATATGTTTATCATAAAATAATATAAAACATTATATAAAAAAATTAAATACTAATAATTATTTTTATAATAAATAATATAATTTATGTAAGTTATTTTAGTTGTTTATGTAAACCGAAAAATTAAACCAGTTATGTAGAAATTTTCAGTTCGATATCTTAAATTTCATTTTTATTAATTGTTTTTACTTTGAAGCGGTGGTGGAAATTTCAAATTTCATTTTGATTAAATTTCGTTTTAATTAATTGTGTTTCCCATGTTTAAATTTAATTATTTTGGTTAATTCGATTAACCAATCAAATAAACTAATTAATTTTGTTCAGGTTTAGATTGATTTCAGACAAAAAGACCGGTCGGTTCATAATGTACCAACATTGTGCGCAATATTACTAGACGAGTTGCACATTAACCCATGATAGATTGCACATTATTAGGTATTTTATTTATTATTATTATACATGTACTAATTTAAACTTTATTAATTTATCGATAAGTCCCCAAAACTTGTCTAATTTACAAAAGTGAAACCCCCAAATTTCAACCCTAATCTAATTACAATCAGTCCAACAAACCAAATTCCAACCCTTCCCAAAGTCACCCTCTCGTCGTTCACCGGAAACCCACCGTAGTTGTGCACACACGCCACCATAAGAACGAGCTGATGACCAGCTGAACGAGCCCGGCGGCGGCGGCGGCCGGAATCGAGATGCGCACCGGAATTATTGTCTGACCTATAATGTAAGAAATTGAAAGCGCCGACGGACGGGAAGAAGATGTTCGGCGGCGTGTCGATTTCGGAGGCATCTTGAACCAGCAAGTGCGCGAAAACGACGGCGAAAATCGTCGCCGACTTCCTTCCGCTGTCTAACCGGTTTTTCACGCGGCGTGGATCGAGGACAGAGAAAGATTAACGAGGAACGAGGTGCGCGGCTCGACATTGACGTTCACCGTGATATCACGAAGCTCTCCTGCGGGAGGAGACGCGGCCGACGTCGGAAGAGAAGGTAGGGAGGAAGCCAGAATTCGTGGCAGACATGGGCCGTCGGTGCGAGAGAAGATGGATAAATGGCGCGCGAGAGAAACTGCGGTGGTAGCAGGCGGCGACGAGCGGCGGCAACGAGCGGTAGGTGGTTGCAGGGTTCATCTCCGGTGGGCACAGACGATGGATCTGATTGCAGATATGTGTGTGTAGGTGAGAGAGAAAAGTGAGGTTTTAATTAGGATGGTGATGGTGGGGCCCACGTATGATAGGTTAGGTGGATTTGTGTGTGAGTGGGTAATTACCACACTGCCCTTATTCGTGGTCAAATGTATACATTTGACCACGAATTATACATCTATTTACTAAATTGCCACAACAGGTTTGACTGCCATATTTAAATTTTGACTTAATAATAACCGTTGATATGTTAGATCTAATGATCCAGACTCATTCTCATTTCTCGCATTAAGAGTCATTCTTATATGATCCTTTCTCTCTCTCTCTCTCTCTCTCTCTATATATATATATATATATATATATATATATATGACTTCTATATATATAAGTTCATTTTTTAGAACGACACTCTGAATTAGCTTCTCAAATATAATATATTGAGTATACGATTTCTGACATGAGCGGCAGAATGTCAACGTCAGGTGTAACTCCCGATTATTTATTTTAAGAAAAGACTGGATGTTTCAGAAATAATTTGAACTTTTAGAAAACATTTTCCAAAAACTATACTACGGGCACTACTCAAAAACTCTGTTCTTTCGACATTTTGGAACATGGCCAAAACATTTTCAAACAATAACAATTTGGATTATACAAACTTAGTTCGAAAGAGGTAGAAATCTAAAACATCCAATTTACAAAGGTTTTCATAACTTTTTGCAGAGCATAAAAGCATAATTACATGATGACCACGCCTGTCCTGTCACGTTCGCCACCAGCTAATGAACCTGAAAAACAAAGGGGTGAGCACATCCTCTAGGTGTTAGGTATATTGTAAAAGCTTGGCTTTCATATTCTAGCAATTCCATTTTGATCTAGCCCTCATGTTTTTGTCAAAGTACTTATGTTTGCAAGTTTATTTATTTATGCAATCATAATTCATTTATCTTACATTGTAGATAGTATGATTAGATGTGTTGAACAGAAATATCATACTGTCGGTTCTTGCAAGATGAACTGGTTGTTCACAGTCTGTAAGCACCCCTTTCTTATTCCTAGAAAATCTCTTAATTTTTCCAGAATTAATACCGAGTATTCTCGAACAGAAAATCTCTTAATACCGAGTATGTCATCCTAGCAAAATAGGAATCCCCCTTGGTAAATCAAATCAATGAATAATGAATATATATGCCCGTTTTATATTATCTTACGACTTAAAAGTACGCATCAATTTCTAAAGGTCTAGATTATAACTACGATCAGTAAATCTTATAATATTATCCTTCCGCGGTCCGTTCAATACTTATCATAAGTAATAGTATAATTCATCAGTCAAAGACCAACCGAATCAAGACTTACACTACAGTCTTTTTCCAACATGGGTCTCACTGTCTGGACTGTGAATAATTAGTTTATATTCCACAAGGAACAAATAGTATGATCTTTCTATTCGACACGACGAACAATACTATCTACAATGTAAAATAAAGGAGTTATGATTGCATAAATAAATAAACTGCAAACATAAATACTTTGACTAAAACATGGTTGCCAGGTCAAAATGGAATTGTCAATATCTGAAAGCCAAACTTTTACAGCATATCCTAACTGTAAGTATTTGAAGATTGACAGTAAATCGATGAACCTTCATCTGCCCCCGTGTGTAGACTACTCAGGAATAATTAAGGGAAGTATGCTTTTTTTTTTTTTTTTTAATTAATTCCCTATTACACTCTATTATTTGCGGACACTAATAATTTTATTGTTTGTGCAGGTCTATTAAAGAGCTCCCAATTGCACTTTCCTTATTGTGAAGATTCGGCCACATGAAGAAGACTTTCCATAATTGAAGGAGGCCAAATCAATCAAGGGAACATCCTTTTAGGACGTTGGCTCGGCAGCGAAGACTTCCTAAACTTACTATATGTGAGCTCATATAAAAGGAGGAGGATACGCATGATGGATTGGTTGATTACCTTTAGAGCTTTTGTTTACGTGTGAGAATTTCTTATTTCTGAAGTTTTGTATTTTTATTGAGTGGTGAATCAAGAAAGAATTCTTGATCACAATGAGTTAATTGTTATGCATAGTAACAGAGTGTTCGGAGGTTCACTCTTATTCGATTGAGGGAGTCAAACTAGAAAAGCCACAAAGGGATTTGTGGTCAGATAAGTAATAGTGTAGGTCATTATTTCAAGTAGAGTGTAGAGGAAGTATACATTGTAAACCCTTGAATAATGGTGGTGTTATCTGCATTAATGAAAGAGATCCGAAGGGATAGTGTGATGCTCTCCTGAAGGTTCAGTTTAGTGAAATTCTGCATCCGCAATTGTGTGAAACTTCTTTAGCTTACTGTTTCATTTGTTTATACGCTATTCTGGTAGTTTTTGTATATCAATATACAACTTCAATTGGCACCAGAGTGGGTTTTCGTACAAAGGTTCTGAGGACGTGTGGATTGGGCAATCATGAATCCGGAAAGTGGATCGATGTTAAGACCTCCACAATTAGATGGTTCAAACTACTCCTACTGGAAATCTGTGATGACGATTTTTCTGAGATCTCTTGGAAAAGGTTCTTGGGAGAGTGTTGGCTGGGAACATCCAGTCATGTCAGGAGCACCAGATCAAGGAAAAGGATCTTCATCGGCCGCTGTTCTCAAACCTAAAGATCTCTGGACTGACGCCGAAAAAACTTCAAGAAGAAGCAAACTATCGAGCCTTCTATGCGATCATTATGGTAGTTGATCAGACACAACACAAGATGATAGTTCAATGTAAGACAACGAAAGATGCTTGGCGAGTTCTACAATGCTAGTTTGTAGGTTCAACGGCAGTCAAAGCATCCAGACTTCAACGAGTAACTCTAATTTGATGAAATCGGAATGAGGGATGAAGAAACGATTGATATGTATTATGCCAGATTTTGTGATCTGGTGAACCAAAGTGGGATGCTTGGAGAAGAAATCTATGAAAATCGTCAAGTCCAAAAGATTATGCGGACAGTTGCTCCTAGGTTCAGAGAAAAAATTACAGCCCTTGAGAGTTTTCAAAGAGTTGCGCCGCTGGACGTAGATGAACTCCTTGGTGATCTGAGGACGTTCGAGATTAACAACAATTATGATAAAGTCAAGAACAAGGGACTGGCTCTCAAGGCGGTGGTAATTGCTCAGAATGAAGAGAGTGAGTTTGATGAAGGTTCAATGGTGGATGACAGCGAGTTAAAAGAAGCACTTGCATTGATTACGAAAAATCCTTATGGAACCTGCTATTCGGCCTGTCGTGATACACTAATTCCTTTAAGTGCCCCGCTCTGATCAATCGTTCGATCTCATCTTTAAAATTCCTGCAGTTCTTCATAGTATGACCATAATCCCTATGGAACCTGCAATATATCTACCTGACTTGGGCTGAATAGGTCCCTCGCTCCTCGACCTTGGCCATGTTACATCCCTTCCATCAAATTTCTTCTCGATCATTTCCAACACCTCTGACAAATTCTAGGTCTTCAATGGCGTATACTTATGAAACCTACGACCACTCATCATAGGTCGATCCTTTCATCTATCCTCTCGACCCCTATCTGGCCTATTCCGCCTCTCCCTTCCGGGTGAATCAACTCTCTCCTTTTTTGCTCAGGTTTAGCTAATTGCTCCAGTTTAGAAATCTCCTCATCCGATTCCTCCAAGTTAACATACTTTTTGCACCTCTTGAGAACTCCATCATATGATCCGGTTGGTGTTTCGGTTAAAGAACTTTGACATGGGCCAGCTCGAAGACTTTGTATTAACCCGCCCGCCTTGAACTCATATGAGACTAATGGTATCTCCACACATGTCAAGTTATAACGTGTAATGTATTTCCTCAAAGATTCTCCCTCCTCTTGCCTCATCGCCATCAGAGTTAGATACGTCTTCTCATGAGCCACCGCACTAGCATACTAATTTAGAAATCTCTCTGAGAAGTCCTCGAAATCCCTCACCGACACCGGGGGTAGTTGGTTAAACTAGTCGAGTGCTTCTCCCCTCAAGGTCAAGAGGAACGCCCTACAACTCACTGGATCAAAATACCCACGTAATACAACCATGTTCTTAAGTGATCGCACGTGCCTTGACGGGTTAGTCGACCCATCATACGCCTAAGTTTGTTTCCTGAAAGCTAGTTGGTAATGGTGCTTCCAGAATATCCTTTGAGAAGGGGTGTCCTCGAGCTTGACCCACTGGTCGACCATCCACCCTGGCCTGCAATTGACGCAATTGTTCAGTCATTCTCTCCAATGTCTTATTCCTTGGGGCTCCATCTCCTCTAAAACTCGATGCATCCTCCTCTGTGTTTTGCTGGTGAGCGCCTACCACCATGGTCGGCGCAGTAGTGGCATGCAAAGTGTGATGCGTGGCCTGCTGCACCACCCCTGCTGCAACCGCATTAGCAATCATCCTCTCCATCTCCTCTCTGGTCATTGCCTCCACCTACTGGCCTGTTCGCTCCTCGTCTGCCCTTGGTTGCTCCACCGCCTGCACCACCGCTTCAACTAGTTGAACTCTTGGTATATCTGGGTGCGGTTGCACCTGCGCCACCACTCCCTTCGATGCTCGAGCCTCCTGAGCCAGACTCGAGTCCACCTCAGCTACATGAACCACCAATAAACCCTCAAAGCCTGGATGAGGAGGCATTGGTGTCATCGGAGTTGCAAAAGGTCCAAAGAAGCCCGGAGGAAGGCAGCTCCGAACGGACGCGTGGTTGTTCACTCATCGTCAAACGTAGTCTCTAGATTTCTTCTCGGGATTTCTTCCACCATGGGGAACACAAGCTCTTTGAACGAAGTCCCCACAGACGGCGCCAAAATGGTATCACAAAGACCTCCAACCGGCTAGAACGAGCTAGAAACGCTTGGATCTCGCGCTGGTTTCCAGTTGAACGTCGTCGAACCTACAGAACTCTCACACCGAAGGGGGTCTCCGGTGAAGAGCCTCCGATGCTTAAATGAGTATGTTTAGAAGATGAAGTGAAGATGGGAAAAGCTCTGGTATTATAAACTGTATAATAGAGAATATAATGTGTTTCAAGACATACCTCACTCCCTTATATAGAGAGATGGTACCTTAGGACCAAAGTCTAGCGCATGAGCTACCTCGGTTGTCAAAGCTACCCTTGCTATCAGAGGTGGTTATAAGGCGTGGACCACTCGGGTGATGCCGCGTGGTTTTACCCATGCTTTTGACCTTGATTACCTTGAGGTGAACACTCCTCAATCGTCGAGTCCTGTTATCCAACTCACTTGGCCAAAGGATCGACCAGATGCTCTCTCGAGTTAAACGTCTCCCGGTCTCCTCTAGACCCTATTCGATGTGGTGGTGCTCTCTGTATCTCCAACGTCTTCTTCGACCTAATGATCTTTCGACCGAAAAGGTTCTCGTCTCCTGCTCGACCTGATGACCATCCCGGTTCAACTCGGATGCCTCTCCGATCTAGTTGACCAAGTATAGTTATCCCATATCATTGGAAATCCAGACTCAAACCCCTCCTCC